CTCTTACAGTGAGCAACATCCATCTGTTCAAATTCAAATAACAGGTACATAGGCTAGGGTGTAAACTGCCTCCCCCCCCCTCCTTTTTGGCTGGAAGATTGACTCTCAACCAAATTTTAATCAAGTTTTTTTCTGGCAATGACACGTTTCACAGTAAAATTGCCTTTTTTTTTTTAAAGGAAAAGACTCCCCCCCCCCTTTAAAATTCTTGCTACAGGCCTAAACAAGCATTTATATTTATCTCTATACTGTCAATTTTTTAAAAAGTCATTGAGACTGTTCTAAGTAAAATAGTCCCAACTCTTAAAAGTAAAAGGTTTCACTGTGAATATTGAGAGCAACATTTCTGGATCAGGTTAGAATCTTTTTAGTCCCTCCATTAACCAGCTAGCCTGTCTATGCTGACCACTTTACTGAGGTATATTGCCTAGGTAGGGTGCAATCAAGTGTTTACATCCAGGGTTTAGTAAACTGCGTAGTATGACACACCCTTATTCATGTCCTGGGGCCTATTTCACAAAAACAAAGTTCAACTAAAATTTTGTCTGAGATATCAAATCAAAAAATTAAACTTGTTCAGTTTTGGAAAATCAACAGAAGTTCATTAAGATGAAGTTACTACTGCTCTAAAATAAGTCTTTTTTCTCTTGTAATAAAACAGGTGCAATTCTTGATTTAATCAGACAGCTTTTGGCTTATCTTATGTCAAAGTAGACTCAAGTTTTGGTTGAAAAGCTTATCCCAACTTTCTATGTTAAAAGTTCCATTGTGAAACAGGCTATTGTTTCATCACAAGGCATGAAACCAGTGTCATCTGTCCCCATACATCTCCTGCTCCTCTGCCTCATCACTGGTACTGCCTCTTTGATGTCATCAGGACCATTGTTAGGCACTTCTTTGATCTATTGTGGCACCTCATTTTTTCAACATCTCTACATCTTCCCTTTGATCCTACCAGACCTGTCTACCAACAATTAGCAGTCTCCTCTGCTGTAGCTTGACATCTGTGGTTTTCCAGGTAACTCAGTTGGGAGTTCAACTAAATCCAGGTTCCTTAAAGCTAAGCCAACCAGCCACAACTCTGTATAAATCAATACTTTGTAAGCTTACTCCTGTCCCAGGCAGCTGTCGTTTTCAACAAGGCCCTGACAGTGTATAGCTTTTAGCTAATTGCCACCCCCACCTGCTGTAGTCTGTGGCTATGAGATAATTAGAGTCCTGGTGCTTTGAAGCTGCCCTACAGCAGGTGACAGTTATTAAGCCTCCCTGGCCAGATGACAGTTTTAGTTCAGTCATTGTGAAATTACTGGGGCTTTTTTATTGGTAGCGATTTCACCTACTTCAAAAGATGCCAGGGTATTAATTAGTGAATATCTATCTCTAAGTCTCCTGAACACCATCTGCAAGGTCCAGGTGACTTGATTTCAATCACTCCATGCTAGTGGTCTGTCCCTTTTGTTTCTGAAGATCTCTGTCATGAAATACACCTATATATTAATATTCAGGCCTTCATTTTCTAGCAAAACACCTGACAGCAAGCCTTAAATGAATTTCAGATAGACTCATCCACACAAATGCATGTGGTACATACACACACACACTCATGCCTTGCACATCATTCAACATTTCTTCATTGCATTTTCTTAAATAAATATTGGATGATGTCAACAAATGTACAATCTGTTGTTTTCCCTAGTCGATACTGCACACAATGGGTAAATTAAGAACACAAGTCCCTTGACCATATGTTCTGAGATCGGAACAGTAAAATGGTAATAAAAGAGAGTGAGGCCTTCCCCTCTCATAACCTTCTCTGTAACTGCCTTTTCATACATTTTTCTGCATCTTTTCAAACTTCCTTTTCATTATCAGTCACAAGTTGTTATTTTGCATAAGAAAACCTCTACAAAAGGTCAAAATTTATTTCCTTAAGTTTATTCTTAACATACTTACAGTCCAGTAGTTGCAATTCAACTAAGCACCATACTATCTTTGCTGACTGTTTACGTAGCAAAAGTACATTGCTTAGTTAAGATGCTACAACTAGATTGTAAATACACCTAAAAGCCTGAAAGATAGGCTGAGGATGAATACAGATGACATTGTTATTGTTTATAATTTGAAATAAACACAGACCAGCAGTATCAGTTTCAAAGGGGCAGTTTACTGACTTCTGCATATCCTAAGACCCGCATGTATAATAAATCATGATTATCTCTGGGATGAAACTTCCTAAATTATCCTATTTAAGAGGGAGGGTACCTCCCCCTTTAATGCTTGAAGTGTGCCGCTTGTCAAAGTGAGCCCTCCACACGTGCCTAATTATTCAGATGGTTGCTTCTATTGTGTTAACAGAGCAGAGGCAGGCAGCACTGATACTTAAAGTGTGCAGCCACAGACTTAATGACAGCGCGGCACACCGGCCTTTGATAACCTGTGGTTGTTCTGTTGTATTAGATTAATAAGAGCCGGCATCCACAGTATATAAAAGCAATCACAGTCGTGTGCCGGCTGTCAGTTGGAACTCTCAGGCACGTGCAGGTGACACCTTCTTTGAATGAGGAGCTTGTGGGGACTTAACCATAAAACCAACAAATTATTTGGATTTAACTGCCGGCGTGTGCACCCTCTGCAGGTATGCCTTTTGACTTTTAGAACCAGTGTAAATATTAAGTGAGCTAGGAGGGAGGTTAAATGGGGACTTGTTCACTTCAGTTTTAAGGAGAACATTTTTAGGTCTAAAATCAGTGCAATTGGACTACTCTGGTGTTCATCCTACCCCCAACCACCCTAACCCCTGTACTTCCTAATTTGAGTTGTAAAATCACAGTGTTCAAGACAATTCTGAAAAGGGTGATTGTAATCAAGTTTCATTCTCATTTTAAAGTTAGACCTAAAATGGTTTGCTTAGATCTGATGAGAACAGGGCTTCAGAATAGAGGAACAGCATTTATCTATTTTCTTCAATTTAGGAGAAAGATAACCTGAGGGAAGTTAGGTCTGTACATTGATTACTAAGTAAAAACTCTGGTTAATATTCAACATGTTATTTTCTTTGAAAAAAAAGTCTTATTACTGGAGACTGATTTTAGATGAGGCAACAAGACTGCTTCAATTTCTTTACCAACCATACAGGATAAAGTGCATCCTGTAACTTATTTTCAGGAGTCTTCCAAAATGTAACAACATGATCAAAGTTTATTTATCTAAATGGAGTTGAAGTGTCATAAAAAAAGAAACCACAGAAATTTTCAGTTAAAGTTCCACCTCACCTATGCCAAGGTTTATTGCACTCTGTTGCCACTGTAAGGGATCAACAGAATGTGGCAAGGGGCTTACCACAGCTGGACAGCAATTAAATATTTTGTGAGGGGAGAAAAGTGTGCCTCCCTTGAGGGAGACAAAGTGTGCCACTGCCTGCTGTTGTTTTCAACGAAAAACTGACAGTTTACGGGGGTCATGTAGAGGATGACTCCGGAGTAGTGGTGGAAGCTGTCCTATCCAACTGAATTTTCATGCAGAGCCACTGCCTCAAAAACAATGCTTCTCTGTCAATGATACCCCAGTTTTATCTAAACCCCCTTTTAATCTGAGTCAGATATCAAAAGTATTTCATCCACTGGATATTTGGTGCTACACATATTATCAATATCATTCCTGCTTAATGCCTTAGATTATTTTCATGAGAGTCGTGTCAGGTGGGGAGATAAAACAAGTTAGAAGTAGCATCTGTTCCAATACCCAGAGTATATATAGAGACTGCCATACACATGGATCTTCTACCCACTGGAATTATCTCAGCCTTTTGTTGGCAGGGCTTTTTTCTTTTTAAGATAACAGATGTACTTAGAAACAATGAGATTAGTCTAATGAGAAGAAAGCTTCATAAGCTGAGTCAAAGGAAAGTTATGCTAATTTATTGAATTAACCATTGCATAATCTTATCCCGGAAGCCTGTAATCTTATGAGTTCCATCAATAAATATTCTGCAGAGTAGAAGATTACTATTAAACTACGCAAGCTTTAATACATGGCTGCATACAGCAGACATTTGTAGGGAAATCAATAAAATAGATTAGGTTTCATCTCAACTTCCTACTTTACAACTAGAGGCCAGAACACAATGAAGGCTAGGGAAATTAATGAATCTTTTCACTTTCACTGTACTGTTGTTAAGTGAGAGGACTGCATGGCTTTGTATGGCCTCTAACAATTCACTTCATTCGGTAATTAACACTGGTGTAGTACTTATAAACCAATTGCACACGGGGACACATAGAACCAACAGCTAGCAGGTAAGAGGAAATATTTCATGGAACTAGCCCCTTGATTGCCTTAAAAATGATTTTTTTGCAATGTGAAAAGAACATTAAAAACACTTTATTTCATTTAAGTATTTATACTTTGAGAAAATTCTGGGGAAAAAATTACGATTATAAAGATTGAGAACAATTCCAGTGCAAAATATACAAAAGCAAAGACTGCTTGATCCTCTCTTTAACTATAGCATTTCATTAACAAATTCCAAGTACTACAGTGCTGACATCATTAGTGCAGCACATCTAGATTACCTGTGTGCAACAGCCTCGTAGTAATCTACTGACTGACAGGTAGAAAACATGTTCTAGCTCAGAGGTAGTTTTTTTAAAAAAAGAGGCAGGTGAACCCGGTAACCCAGCTGACAACCCAGAAAGAAAGAAAAGACCCTGCACCATGTGCCGCCAATTTTTATTTCATTTCAGTTTAGTTTATAGGTTACTCTGACTAGCAGATTAGAGCCCTGGAAACCATACAGGCTTGCATGGCATACTGACGCTACAGGTGCAAAAATATTTTTCCAGCACCAGCGGTAAGTTTATGATGGCCTAAAAAAGCCACTATAGGTCAAGGGGTATGAACCAAGAAAATCAGAGAAGATCGTAAATGTTGCCCACAAATCATGGCTCTCCAAGCTGTTTCCAGTGGAGTTTCTATTTAAATGGTTGTAATTTCCTTTACAGGCACCATATTGTCATCGATGTGCTGGTGAAGTGAGTGAATTGAAGAACTTAAGGGAAAAACAAAACATCGGTCTACATTCAAGATGAAAAACTTGCAGAGCCTTCAAACTGCATTCGCAGTCATGGTGATGTGCATTACTGGATACAAGGAAACGATGGGTGAGTAACAGAGTAATTTATATCTGTGCATTGGCATCACTGGTAGTAGTAGAGCTAACAGCTGTTGTATGCGTATGTGGATTAGCACTGACTCTTCTCTCTGGTTTTAAAAATATAAGAAGCTATAAGACTAATACACTGCACTGAGTGAGCCCTGTAAGTTTATCTCTCTCTGCCTGTACTTATTTGTAAGCTTATCTTATGCTGGTGTTATTTTGGTGTGTTATTTCATTGTTGTGGCAAATCTGAATTGATAGTAATATTGTTTATGTGCCAAGATAGGGATATCGCTAGGTATGTGGTCTGTCATATTTTCAAGAATATCTCATGTTTATGGACTTAAAAGTGGGGTTTTAAACAGTTATTTGATAAGTTATTATTTCAAGGTAGCAATATTATTGTTTTAGCAAGTATCAAGGAAGACTCAAAATTTTTTGATGCCTTTTTGCAATATAAACATTAAAAATGCCATTTATTAAATAACCAAAGGAAGAATAGTAAAAAAATATTCTCTACATATCCCTATCATTTTAGAGAGAAAGAGTTTCACATCCATTATTACAAAAAAAAAAATTGTTAAGAAGGCTTAGTCAGTGCACTACAGAAAAATAGCAATCACGGCTTTTTATCAGTAGTAATACACCAGTATTTAAGCAATTATTGACCAGGTTCTTGTCTGAAATTACTTTCAGTTTAAGACATTGACTGAGTGAACACCAATCAATGAGTGAAAAAAGATGTGTTCAATACAAAATGAATAATCAGTCCACACAATGCACACTCATTGTTCTTGTAAACTGATTTCAATAAGGAAGTTTTAGCTCTTTCAATGCTATACTTACCAGGTAATCAACCTGCAATCTTAAATCATGCCTACTTAACTCTTATGCAAGTCTGTGTAACATTATTTTCAATGAATTTTTACAACTATTTTATAACATTTTTATTTCTAATTATCTTTGTGTTTATTGGTTTATCGTTTTCTCTGCACCTCACCATTATACCTCTGACCTATGAGAAATTGTTGGTCTCGTGCTGGTGTTTGGTACTTTTACTCTACTCGGGTCACTTACTATCTGCAGAAGGTCACTCATCTTATCTCTCCAGCATGAGATTCATGCTACACATCCACATTCAGGTCTAGTGTAAAAACAGCTGAATGACTGGAGATCACCCTGCAGTCCCTTTCCCTCAACAGTTTTACATGGGTCCCAGCATTAAACAAGGTTTCAGGCCTAATTGAAGGAAGCACAGGGGAAGCAGATACTAGGGCAAAATCTTTTCCCCCTATCATCCTTGACCACCCCATCTTGTGCTAATAGAACACAGGACCACAGAAGAGACATGTAGATGTAGAAGAGTTTTTTTATCAAATGATCTAAACTGAAAACTACAAACTTTAATAAAACAGATAAGCTATTAAAAAATGATCTTAGCTACATATCTGAGCACCAGTTGTCAAGCCTTATTATAATGTTGTTTATCACAGTCATGTATGCAGGCCATATGGAGTAAACACTTTATCTGGAACATCAGAAATATATTGCAAGTGACTGCGATGCTCTAAACTTTCTTGAATTCATTGTCTTGACTTTGGTTGTCCTTTCACAAAAATAATTCAACATTATCATTTTCATTTTTTAAAATTTTATAATAAAAACAGAAATTTTATGTTTCGACATTGTAGATGTACTGCATCCCTCAAAATCTCCTTCAGCTGCTCTGGGTTGTTTTCATTTCTCCTAATATATTACTGTTTTTGTTTTCCTCAGCTGAACCCAGAAATGCCAGCATCTGTTTTGCCCATCCCAGCAATATTCTCAACCTGACATGTAGCATTGGATCCATGATACGCATCAACAAGATCATTTACGGCCTCAGTGCCAGTGGAAAATGTAACTACACTGAAGGTGACTGTCATGTAACTGAAGACACGCCTTATTCCTGTGTCGGCCAGTCACACTGTGGTATCAACCTGCCATCTGGGGACTATGGGCGCTACATCCCCCACTGCAAGCAATATAGCAACTACATCCAGGTTGAATATGAGTGTATACCAGGTAAAAAAAAGTTCATTCATGGTGTTCTTTACTGTTGAAAGGCGGGCCTACTTGCTGATGAGTGAAGGTTTTGTTTTTGTTTTTTTTTTTTTTGTTTTTTT